CACCTGTGGGGCTGGTAGGGGGCGTCGCTAGGGGTGTCCCGGAGTCGCCGCTGCTCCTCCCCAGCGCCGTTGCAGGCCTGGGGGTGCGCGGCGTCCTCTTCGCCCACTTTTCCCTCGCCTGCCGCCGCTGGCCCCGCTGACTCACGCTGGTGAGCTTGGGGTTTGCACCAGGTTTGCGCGATGCAACAAAACCAGCGCCTAAAAAGTGACTGCTCGGGCACAGCTTCCCGCCCCTCCGCCCTGGAGGCGCTTGGCCTCCGGCCGCGCTCGGCCCCGGCGCTGCTCCTCCCCTCCACGGCTCATTTAGCAGAGGCGCTCGGGGGCCCAGGTGAACACCCCGTTCCCACCAAGCCAGGCCCCGCGGCACGCCGAGCCCCTCCTTGGAGCCTCCCGTCCTGTTCTGGCCACTTAAAGAGCCTCACCCTGTCACAAACGTTCGTGGGTCCCTCGCTGGGCTCCTGGAACTGCACAGTGCTGAGAAGACCAACATAAAACGGGGTTCCTGCCTTTGAGGGACTCACAGTCTGGGGGGAGGTCTACACATCTATCGGAATCAGTAAGGTTCCAAGAACAATACCCGTGTAGAAAAAAAATGTAGGGAGAGGAAGGCAGACAGTTAGGACTTCATAAGTGAAGAGACTTTTTAAGGGTATTTTCGGAGGATGGTTGGTCCTGGGAAAGGACACAGCAGGTTTTTAAGGTGAAGGGAAGAACATACCCAAACCACTAAAGGAGAAAGGATCGAACTATGGGCAATGGAAGGGTCTGGAGTGAAATGGAAGGGTTAGGAGAGGGGTGAAGATCTGTAATAGAGTGCCAAGCTAGGCAATTATCAATCAACACTAGTGGAGTTTAGAAACCATAATTGTGTAATGATGTCCACATACAATTTTACAGGATATCCACAGGTAGGTGTGCAAATGCAGATATTTATGACAAAACCAAAGTTTGAGTAGAGTACAAAGACAAGAGTGAGGAAGCTGAGGTCACTGAAAGAATGTGACTGTAGTAACGCACCAGGGCTCTAATTCACAGAGGAAAGAAATAGAGCAGCAGGAAGCTGATAGACTGGGACAAAGAGAAGAAAGGGACCAATGACAAGGGCCCATGGAAATGAGGGAACTGGCAAGTTGTCACCACAGTGTGGTGTTGATGTTGAAATCATCAAAGGGAAAGCAGTTCAGATGAAACAGAGTCAAGAGATGGGCATTGTTGGCATTGGGTCTAGCACCCACCAGGCCAGTGTAAGGGACATCAAGGGCCCTGGAAGGATGGTGGAACTTGGAGGCGTCAACTGAGGCCAAGAAACCAAGTCTTCAGTGAATGCAAAGGAGTGACCCTCAAGCTAATATATGACAGCAACAAGGCAGGGTAGAGGGTTATATGGAAAAATTAAATGAGTTTCAAAACAAAAGGGAGTTTCTCCCCTTAAGGATGACAGAACAGAGTTGCGGAAGAAGTAGTAAGGATCTAGGGTTAGTGTTGTCAATTTCTGGGAAAATGGGCAGAGGCTCCACTCAACAGGAACCAGAGGGGAGACCCAAGCCTCCTCGAAGGCAAATAATAAATAAACAAACAAATAAATAAAAAACTTTAAAGGAGGAAACACCTTGTAAAAAGGCTGGAGGCACAGAAGAGTTTGCTATGAAACAAGCCTTCCAAGAGAACCCTGTAGAAAGGATGGTTGTGAAATGGGTTGAAACAATGGTAATAGTTAACATCTGCCATGTATGCAAGGTTTCCTTCCACATTTCAGTACTTCATTGCCTTTTTTACAATCAGGACAGTTATTATTATCTTTTTTTGTAATGAAGGACCCGAGGCTTAGAGATATGAAGTGCCCTGACCAATTATACTGTACATTAGTTAATATAAGTAACAAAACCTGGACATAGTGGGGAGGAAAAATAATTTTTCCTCCTACCCCTTTAAGTTCTTCTGGCTGGACTAATCAAATTAACACAAGATAGATTAACAGGAGAAAGTTACCAAATTTATTACTTATGTGCATGCAGAGGTTCCATAAGATATGAAACCTGAGGACAGACTGGGTACTTAAGGTTTATATGCCATCTTGAGCTAAGGTTGGTGGTATTTGGGGGACTTCAAAGGCCAGGAAGTCAAATCAGATGGAGATGGAAAAGCAAATGTTTGGTAAATATATGTTTGCTGGGCCATCTTTACCAATAGGACACAGAGAGGACTTTGATCAAACAGGTCTTGCTAGGTTCCTCCCTAACACACACTGGTTTATATTAAACTAGTTACCTGATGCTATCTCCCTTCCTGGAGGAGGTCCTCTATCTAAATTTCTAAATTCTTTTAGGCAGTTAGTGGAAGGTCAAAGGTTCTTCCTGAGTCTTTTGTTTCTGGAAAGTAACCAGTTTAAAATAATCGATATCCAAAAATGCATATTTTAGGATGGCAAACTCTGCTTTCCCCTGACATCAATACAAGCATCTATTCCCAAAGCAAGACTCTTCACCACAGGATGTAGGGCCTCATGTTTTTCTTATTCTATTAATCTAAGAGGCTAATGGAGGAAACATGTTTTGTGAATACACAGGGATTCTTATAACTTTTGTATTATTAATCCAAAATGGGGGAAAAAAGAGCAGAAAAACAAATTTGATAACAAGGCTGAGATTGACTGATTTTTGTGGGGATAAGGGTGTGTCTTCATTCAACAAGTGTTTATTCATGGCCTACTACCAGCATAACATTAAGGATAAAAAAGAGATGGAAAAGAAGCCCACCATTAAGGTGATTTGTGTGTGTTTCTTTATCTTTTATCTTGAAGAAGTTACCTTTCAGAACAATTATAAAAGTGTCCACTGGGGAACACAGCATTCACCATTGTTTTGGGTGCTCCTGGAAATAAAGCAAAAGTCAGTCTGAATGGCCCTGACTGGTATGGCTCAGTGGTTGGAGCATTGGCTTGTGCACCGAAGGGTTGAGGGTTCAATTCCCGGTCAAGGGCAAGCAGCTCGGTTGCAGATTCAATCCCCACCCTGGTCAGATGCACATATGGGAGGCAACCAATCTCTCTCTCTCTCTCTCTCCCCCCCCCTTCTCTCCTTCCCTTCCACTCTCTCTAAAAATCAGTATCCTCAGGTGAGGATCAACAACAACAAAAAGTAAGGCTGAATGGGCTGGGGCCCCACCTCTGCTATTTGTAGGGTCAGTACTACATTCCTTTTGGAGGTGAAGAAACTTGAAGAGTAACAAGTCAAAGATATTCACCCATTATCTTGTTTTTTAATTGATTTTAGAGAGAGGAAGGGAGAGAGAGAAACATCGTGCTCCGTTGCCTTCCAAAGCGGTATGTGCCCTGAACAGGATTTGAACCCGCCACCTTTTGGTGTACAGGATGACATTCCAACCAACTGAGCCACACTGGCCAGGGCAAAGGTATTCACCTATTAGATGGTGAAGTTAGAAGCCCCCTCCTGGGCTTCTGACTGGAATTCCACGCTCATTCTAATCACACTTTAATCAAAAATCCTTTTTGTGGAAAGTGTTGACCACTTTCAGGTTCTCACTGACTTAATAAATCCTAGAAAGACCTTGACCCTCAGATGTCTCCTGACTTTCAAAGCTGAATCAATACCCAGACTCTAAAAACAGGTTGGAATGACACTGATGCCACTAAATTGTACACTTAAAAATGGTTAAAATGGCTTGGCTGGCGTGGCTCAGTGGTTGAGCATCAACCTATGGATCAGGCAGTCACGGTTTGATTCCCAGTCAGGGCACAGGCCTGGGTTGTGGGCTCATTTTCCAGTGAGGGGCGTGTAGGAGGCAGCTGATCAATGACTCTCTCATCATTGATGTTTCTTTCTCTCTCTCCCCCTTCTCTCTGAAATCAATAAAAACACATTTTTTTAAATAGTTAAAATGGCCCTGGCCGGTGTGGCTCAGTGGTTGGGGCATTGGCCCGTGCACCAAAGGGTTGAGGGTTCAATTCCCAGTCAAGGGCACATAACTGGGTTACAGGTTTGATCCCCACCCCGGGCCAGGGCGCATTCAGGTGGCAACCAATCAATGTGTCTCTCACATTGATGTTTCTCTTTCTTTCTCCTCCCTTCCTCCCTTCCACCCTCTCTAAAAAAAATCAATGGAAAAAATATCCTCGAGTGAGGATTAACAAAACAAAACAAAAGGTTAAAATGACAAATTTTGTTATATATAATATACTGTAATTTTTAAAATTAACAGTGTAACATACCAAAAACCGTTGAATTGTACACTTTAAACTGGTGACTTGTATGGTATATGAATTATATCTCAATAAAGCTGTTTGGGGAAAAAAACAAAACAAAATGGGTTGGACTTGTTAAACTAAACTCCCAGACCTGAATTGTAAATATACCTCAGGCTGCCCAGCTGGCGTGGCTCAGCAGTTGAGCATCAACCTAGGATCCAGGAGATGGAGGTTCAATGCCCAGTCAGGGCACGTGCCCGGGTTTCGGGCTCCACCCCCAGTAGGGAACGTGCAGGAGGCAGCCGATCAATGACCCTCTCATCATTGATGTTTGTCTCTCTCTCTCCCTCTCCCTTCCTCTCTCTGAAATCAATGAAGACATATTTAAAAATAAATACATAACTAAATATACTTCAGGCTGGAAAACTGGAAAGCAGGAAAATCAGAATTGTAATCCCTCCCCCACATACTCACTGGAACTTGGCTACTCTTCTGAAAATGTTGGAAGGAGAAATAATGGGTGTCCTTTGCCAACAGATTGCTTGAGACTGTGCTTGGGAAATACATTCATGAACTCCCTGCTCTGAAGTAGTTGTTCACTTGGGCAGTTTTTTTATTTGTTTGCATGTTATTATGGAAAAAGTTAAATACTATATATAGAAAAGCAGACATAATAGTATAACCACCTAACTTCAACAATTATCAATCCATGGCCAGGCTTGTTTCGTCTACATCCCCACCCATTTCCCACATCCTGTATTAATTTGAAGCAAATGCCAGCCATCCTATCATTTCATTGGTAAATATTTCAGTATGACTAAAAGATAAGAACACCTTTAAACACACACACACACACTTACCACACATTAAAATTTAACAATTCCTATGTCCATCGACAGATGAATGCATAAACAAAATGTGGTATTACATACAATGGAATGTTATTCAGCCTTTTAAAAGGCAGCCTTTCTTATGGAAGAATTTTAAAGAAATTCTGACACATTCTACAACATAAATGAACCTCAAGGACATTTGCAAAGTGAAATAAACCAGTCACAGAAAGACAAATATGGTATAATTCCATTATATGAGGTTCCTGAAGTAATCAAACTCCTACAGAAAGTAGCTTGGTTGCCAAGGGCAAGGAGGAGGGGAGAATGGGGAGTTGTTTAATGGGCACAGAATTTCAGTTTCACAATAGTAGAGTTCTGGAGATTGGTTGCATAACAATGTGTGTATACCTAACACTACTGAACTATACACTTAAAAACTGTTAAGATGGTAAAGTTTGTGTATTCTACCACAATGAAAATTTTTAAAATTTAGCAATTCCATTATTTCACGATCTATCCAGTGCCCAAATTTCCAATTCGTATTAAGTCAAATCCCCCCCCCCAGTGGGTTTATTTGAATTAGGAACCAAATAAAATCCACAAATTGCCATTCGTTATTTCTCTTAAATCGTTTTTAATCTATATGTTCCTCTTCTCCACTTCCAATTTATTTGAATAAAGAGTGTCGTTTGTCCTGTGGTTTTTCAGTCTAGATTCTGCTGCCTGCATTCCGTGGTATCTTTTAACACTTTCTTTCATCTTCTGTATTCCCTGTAAATTGGTAGCTGGACCTAGAGGCCCTGGGCTAGTTCTGATTCCGTCTCAGGTGGAGGCTAAAGACAGCCATCTCCACAGGCCGGCCCAGCTGGACGTGAAAAGGCGAAGCTGTCACCAGCCAAGCTGCTTACAGTGACAAAGACGCCGTTTACACGCCCGGGTCCATCACTGCAAAGCTAGAGATGGAGGGAAAGGGGCGCGGCTGGGCTTCGTGGGAAAAGCCCTTTGTCCGCTTTCCACGCGCGCAATAATTCCTGCAATAAACAACCAGCGGGGCGGGGCTCTGGCCGGAAGTGACGTACGCACGGCCGGCGTCCGAGTTGTCATAGAGGCAGAGAGCAGGCTAGACAGGCCGCCCCGGGGTCTCACTTCCGGCCATCTCCCAGGGAGACGGGCATTATTGTGGAGTCGGGAGTGGGCGGTAGCCGCTAGTCTCCGGTGGCCGGGACCGCGGCGGCGGTCCCACGGGCGGGATGTTCCGGGGTTTGAGCAGTTGGCTTGGCTTGCAGCAGCC